CATCTGAGATGAATACGCACTTCTCAGATGAAGAAATGCAAATGGCAAATAAATACATGAAAAAATGTTCATCATCATTGGTCATTAGAGAAATGCAAATTAAAACCACACTGAGATACCATCTCACTCCTGAAAGAATGGCCAGGATCAAGAAAACCAACAACAACAAATGCTGGAGAGGCTGGGGGGAAAAAGGAACTCTCCTACACTTTTGGTGGGAGTGTAGACTGGTGCAGCCTTTGTGGAGGTCAGTCTGGAGATTTCTCAAAAAGTTGGGATTGGAAATCCCGTTTATTCCAGCTATTCCACTTCTAGGCATATTCCCAGCAGAACTGAAAGCATCATACCACAGTGATATATGTGCACCTATGTTTATAGCAGCACAATTTGTAATCGCCAGATCTTGGAAACAACCCAAGTGTCCATCAACTGAGGAATGGATAAAAAAGTTGTGGTATTTCTATACAATGGAGTATTATTCAGCTATAAAGAAGGATCACATTGAGATATTTATCAATAAATGGGCGCAGCTTGAGACCATACTCATAAGTGAAATAAATCAATCTCGCATGTGTGAATCCAGAGTAGTTTCCCTAATGTAAGTAATGATTCAAATATATGAAAATATGTGGTAATCATGATTCCCCATTATGTGGCCTTGAAGCCTTATAAAGTTTTCACTTATTAATTGGAAAGGCTTTATTCTGGGCTTCTTTATATGGAAATATTTGAAGCTATAGTATATGAAGTTTTATTCAAATATTTCAAGGAAAAAGACAGACACTATGGTAACTACTATTAAGTTGGGTTATTTGGTGGTGAAGCACTAGGTTGCTGAAACAGTCATGCTTTGACCTGTATTGTTACATTTTTATGTCCTGTTTTATCTCAATCTCTCCCTTATTCATTAAAAAAATTATTTAGTTATTTCTTATGTTTTTTTTAATTAAGGGGAAAATTTTTAAAAATTAGCAGGATATATAATAGTAACATTTTTTGATTTCCTATTAACTTGTTTTGAAGTCCTGTAATACTCCCACGATCTTGTTTTGACTGATTAGAGTCTGTTCCATTCTGTATGATAGTATCAAGTTTGAGGGTGTAGGCAACTACTTTGAAGGAAATAAGATTCACTAAGATGCCCATTCTGGTTTGACTATTGTCTCCTTTGGAAGTCCTGTAATGTTTACAATGCTTAATTTTATTGGTCTTGTTCTCTACAGTTTTGTTCAACTTTATAATATCTAATGAGATAGACAATTCTTTTCAAGGAAACAAGAGACATTGTTGATAACCATTGTTGATAACCTTTACTCTGTTTTACATCATGTGCTATGTCTATCCTTGGTTTTGACTGACAGCTTTGTTTTGCCATATTTGACTTTATTCTCTCCCAGATAAAAGTACTAAGAACTAAGGAGTAATAAAACCCAAAATGTGTAAATTTTGTTATAAAAAGAGAGTGAAAAAAGAGCTCTAAAGGACACAACAGCAAGTGTGTTTAGGGGTGTTAAATAGCTGACCATATTAATGTTTTTGATTGGATCGTTGAACACAACTGCAATCTCATTGTTTAAATGTCCACTTTGTATGCTTTGATACTGTGATTTGAGCAACTATCTCTAGTATGATAATATGTAATCTATTAACTGGTGATTTCTTACTGTTTTTTTTTGTAGTTGTGTATTACTTGTACCCTTACACCGATTTGTTTTGTTTTGTGTTTTTCTTTTTCCTTTTAAATAAATTTTTAAAAAAAGATTTATTGCCAACCTTTCTCTGCATCATATCTGCTATTCTATTTTTCTGCTATTATTTGTCCTCTTTTCTCCTTTATTCCACTGTCTCCTTTATTCCATTCATTGAGGCCTCTCTGCCACTGTTGCTGGAATCCTGGTATTTTTTTCTATCTCTCTCTAGAATGTCCCTCAGTATTTTTTGTAGGGTTGGATTGGTGGTCACGAACTCCCACAGTTCCTCTATGTCATGGAAGCATCTTGTTTCTCCATTAATTTTGAGAGAGTTTTTCAGGGTACATCAATCTGGGTTGGAGGTTATTTTCTTTCAGGGCTTGGACTACTTCACTCCAAGCTATTCTTGCTTTGATAGTTTGTGTTGAGAAGTCTGTCGTGATTTTGATGGATTTTCCTTACAGGTAATCTATTTCTTTTCTCTGACCCCTTTTAATATTCTGTTCTTGTGGTGAATTTCTGGGATCTTGATTATTATGTGTCTAGGTGTAGCTTTGTTTTAGGTGTAGTTGGCTGGAGTTCTATATGCCCCATTTATCTGGATATCATTTCCTTTTCCAATGCTTGGGAAGTTTTCCTTAATTATTTCTGTGAATAATCTTTGTAATTCATTTGTGTTTACTCCTGCTTCTTCATTCACATTTTTTATTCTTAAGTTATAGATTCTCTTGTCATCATTTAGCCTTTGTATTGTTACTTACTGGTTCCTTGTTATTTCTAAGAGGTCTTTTCTTTCACAATCCCAGATTGCTGATCTTTCTTCAAAATTTGAAAGGGTAACTTTAGTTTCTGTCAAGGCATTTTGCCAGCTTTCAATGGAGTTTTTAATTTCTGGTAATCTCCTCGGATCTATTTCATGTATTCTACATTTTGTTTATATTCTTTACCAAAGGTTTCTCTTCTTTTTCTGAGTTCCTTCTTCCTTCCATCTGTGTCTTCTTGAGAGGGGCTTAGGATTTCTTTTATTAATCTTTTTGTATCTTGCCTCCCTTGGATTAGAATTTCAGTTTTAAGTTCATCTATGAGGTCATGAAGTTATTTCTTTATGTCCTCTGATGTTGTGGCTGATATTGCATGATTGCTGCCCTGAATTTCTTCTGTATTTACCTCTCCTGGACTTATTTTGCCATGGTCAGCACCTGGAGGCTTTTTCTTATTCCTTTCTCTTGTCATGTTTCTGGTTTCTTTCAGACAGGTGTATGGTAAAGGTCTCAGGCCCTTTCCATCTTGCTTACAGTTTTTCTGAAGTGCTAGCTGGGGCTTGCTGCCTTACTGTTATCTGAGGGACAGTGCAGGCTAGCCCCTCTTCTCTGAGCCAATCAACTGGTGAGTGCCTTCAGCAACTTAGTCTATGGTGTGTAGATGTCACAGGTTTGGAACAGTTTCATCCCTGGCTATTGGGTCCCAACTAGGGGCCTGACCCAGCCCAAGCAGATTCAGCCCAGTCCTCTCTGGGCCACGAGTGACTGACTGATTCCACTGCAGTTCTGGATTCAGGCCTCTCCTGCCCAACTACAATATGTCCTCCAGCCAGCCACACCCACCACGGGACCCAGTTTCCAGCACTCACTGTGAATTAATGCAGCTCTCCACCTTGGCTCCACTCTACACTGTGCTGCATCCTCCCACAAAGGGCCCCGGACTCACCAACTCCCCATTTTGGCAGCCGTGGCTTCAGTGCAACTGTGAATCATCTGACTCCAAGGCACACCCAGCATAGCGGGGGAGCGGTTCCAGTGAGCGCATCTGGTTCCAGCCTTTCACCCACGTTTTTCATTCCTTTCTTTCTTTTTCTTTTTTCTCAGTTTCTTCCTGAGTCGTGACAATCCCTCTCCTTTTTTCTGGTCTTCTCTATGTTAAATTCTAGTGTCTGAGTTGTTTTTCTCAGAGAGGCTCTCTACCCTGCTACCTATCAAACCATCATTGTCAGAACTCCTGGAGTATATTCTCATTCATTCTGTTGTTGGTGCTTTTTGCAGTGCAGAAGTTTCTATTTTTCATGAACTCATGCTCATCAGTTCTTTCTTTCATGGTTTGTGCTTTTGGTACTATACTAAAATATTTATCATTTGAGCCAAACCTTTTCAGAGTCTCTTCTTTGAAGTTCTCTAGTTTTATAATGTTGAATTTTACATTTGGAGCTGCATTCCAGCTTGACTGAACTTTTCTAAAGGATGTAAGGTCTCTGCATTCATTGTGCTTTGTTTTTGCATGAGGATGTGCCGTGATTCCAACACCATTTGTTGGTAAGTCTTCTCTCCTTTGAACTGCCTCTATTCCATTCTCCGGGCCAGTTAGCATATTTATATGAAGCTCTGTGATAGCCTTCTATTCCATTCCAGAAACTGACTAGCCTGTTCTTTCATAAGCACCATACTGTCTCTACTACTATAACTTCATAGCATATCTAGATGGTATGTTATGTTGGTTCTCTGTCAATACATGTTGATGAATCTGGGTTTTTTTTTTTTTGGCCACTCCTTGTAAACATTGGGAGCAGAATGCTGATGCCCACATCACTTCCTGACATTTTGATTGGAATTGTTTTGCATCTATAAATCAAGTTGAGGAAACTATATTATGACAAATTGAGACTTTCTACCTAGGAACATAGATAATCTCTCCATTCACATAGTTCTCCTTTGATTTGTTCCAGTATAGACATAATATACTTCACATAGATCCAACACACATTTTGTTTTATATATACCTTGGCATTTCATTTTTATGGTTACCCATTGAAGTAGTTCCATATTTTAAAGGCCCATCTCCACTTGTTAGAGATGGGATAGAGTGACCAGTGATTTCCTTTTCCCTGTTAACCTTGGGTCTTGCACTCTGGTATAATTGCTTTCTAGTTTCAGGAGTATTTTATTTTATTTTTTCCAGATCTTTAAAAAAGTCATGTCACCTATGAACAAAGTTTTCTTTCTTTCTCCATATCTGTAACCTTTCACTCCATTTTTTTCTAATAGCATTTGTCATGATTTCTAATATGACATTGAGAAGTAGTGGTGGGAATGGCCTTTCCTGCCTAGTTCCTGACCTTAACAGCAAACATTCTAGTTCCATCATTTGAGTGTCAGCTATAGACATTTCAAGAAAAACAAGAAACAAAAAGGACAAATAACAATAAAAAAGAATCTTAAACATGACAATATAGGCTTTCAAATCAATGTGGTAGGAACATAACTAAAATTGTTATTTTACATAGTACTCTTCAAAAAGTTCCTCAGACTACCAGACACAAAAAATATGGAATGCTTCACAAATTTGTGTGTCATCCTTGTTCAGGGGCCATGCTAATCTTCTCTATAGTGTTCCAGTTTTAGTATATGTGCTGCTAATATGACCACCAGCTGTGGGCTTCTGCAGGTGTTCTTCACCAAGTTTTTGAAACCTTCCCCGTATTTTTAGCTTGCTGAAACTTTTTATTGTAAGTAAGTTTTGGATTTTGTCAAATATTTTTGCATGTATTGATAATGCTAGATTTTTTCTTCTTTGAATGTTGATTAAATGAATGATAATAATTGATTTTTTAAATACCAAAGCAGGCTTCCATAAACCACAATAAATCCCAATGGTTGTAATGTACAATTCTGTTTATACATTCCTCAGTTTAATTTGTTAACACTTAATTTAGCATGCTCACATCTATGTTTATAAGAGAAACTATCATGTGACTTTCCTTCCACTGTTTTTGGTTTTGGTGTTTGTGTGATGCTTACTGCATAGAACACATTAGGAAGTATTTTCTTTGCTTTTCTCTTCTGAAAAGAAGGCAACTGACTTTAGAATATTGGTAGGGTCACTTAGATGTTTGGAGGAATGTTTGGTAAAATTCTTCCAAACTTCTACATGGATATGGTAGTTTTTGTGTTGCAAAATTAATAGCTCAATTTTTAATAGATATAAGCTTTTCCAATAATTTATGTGAAAATGGGCAATTTTAGTCTTTCAAAGAATTGGTTCATTTCACTTAGAATATCAAATTTGTGGGCATGGAGTTGCTCATATTATTACTTTATTATAGTTTTAATGTCTATGTGATGTGATACAAATAATTTGCTTCTTCTCTCTTTGCTCTTCAGTAGAAGGTTATTGATTGTGTTGATCCTTTTAAAGAAATAGCAGCCTTGGGATTCTCCTATTTTCAGTTTCATTGAGTTTTGCTGTAACTTCATTATTTTTTTCTGGTTACTTTGGGGTTAATTTGCTATTCTTTTTTCTATTTGCCAACAAAGAAACTTAAGTTATTGGTTTTAAACATTTCTTCATTCCTAATGCATGTATCTGTGCTATAATTTTCCTTCAATGCACTACTTATTCTCTCTCTCTCTTGAATTTTGGGTACATTTTATTTTACTTTTCATTTAGTTTAAACTTTTAAACTTTTAAACTTTTAATATTTCTCTTGATATTTCTTCTTTGATTAGGGCATTATTTAAAAGTTTGGTCTTTAATGCCTATGGTTGTGGAATGCCCCCAGTGGTCCATGTGTTAAAGGTTTGGTCACCAGGTTAGTGCTATTGAGGGGGGCCTACAAAAGGTGAAGTGAGGATGAGATTCATCGTCCAGTTCTCAGATTATGGGCATGAGTGTTACACCTACTAAAGTGAAGGTAGTCTTCAGAACAATCTCTATCACTTCTTTATCACTGATTCTTACAGTTTCCATCTCTCAGTTACATTACCTGCATGCACTGTTATGTTATCTGCTTTTCCTGCTATATCCCTTAATGTACAAATAATAGCTTTATCAAGTTCTCACATACTAACTATATCTTCCTGTTATATTTGATTTTGGTTCTGGTGTCTCCTCTATCTCATCAAACTATTTTTTGACCTTTAGGATGTTTACTTGATTGTGTTTCTTTTATTTTATTGAGTTGGGGATTGAATTCAGGACCTTTGCTCCATGCTCCATTGCCAGTTCTTCTTTATGATTTATTTCAAGATAGAACATCACTAAGTTATTAAGTGTCCAAATTGGTCTCAAACCTGACACTCTCCTCACACAGTATCACAGAGTGCTAGGATTACAGATATTTGCCACCACACCCAACACCTCATCATTTCTTGTTGAAAGACAGACATGGGGTCCTGCCTGAAAGAAGTGGTATAAGTAGACTTCTAGCTATGTTGTGGTAAAATGTGGGAAGAGAGAAAAATTCGGTAGACCTGTGATTAGGTCTTTGACCTTTAGAGCCTATGCTCACAATTGTGAAACATCACAATTCTTCTTCCTTGAGATAAAATGACAATAAAGGGCTGGAATTGGCTGTTGCCCTTCCCCTGGGGCAGCTCTGATAAAGCCCCATGATTCAGGCTCTAGGAAAATAGTAGATGCTCCTGAAGACAGGCCTGTGAGGAAGAACAGCATGCTCTGGAGTCTTTCAGAATACTTGCTTTCTCCTCCCTATGCCTAACTAAGGCAAGGAAAGCTTTTGCTCTCATCTTCACTATGAGAGCCTGGTAGAACTCACACAGGTGGGGCGACAGCTTTGCCATGGTGCCTCCAGAGAATCTCTAGTAACAGCTCAGTGTTTCATTTCCTCATGCTGCCTGCCATGGAAGTGTCTGCTTTGCAACAGGGGACTCCATCTGTATATTTGCTGCTACAGTTTTCTTGATTCCTCCTTGTTCCCAGGCTTGCCTTTTGCTGAGTGCTTACAACCACGTGGCTCATCCTGAAGCAAATTGTATGTGGTTCAGGGCACTAATCAGACAATGAGGAGAAAACAAAGCCTGACTGGGAGTATGGTCAGGGCTCCCCAATTTCCTCAAGGAGGGTGCAGTCCGAAGTCCCTCTCCTTTAGCAGCCGCGGACAGAAGTAACTCTTGGAGGCTGATCTACCTCAGCTCATGGAGGCTTTGACAATTTCAGGAAATGGACACTGCTCTCACTGCATTTTCATAGGTAGAAACTGAGGCCAAGAGGTTCTACTACCTGCTTAAGGTCCTCTAAAGTCAGTGAAATGTCACAGCCCTAGTAAGGCAGGAGATTGAGTATGGCATAAATGGATGGGCAAGTGGAAATTTTAATTGTAAGATACATACATGAAGGTGAAACCTCCAAAAAATGCAACTTGATGAACCCTCCAAGGTTAACATGCCTGTGAAACCAGCATTTGATTTGGAAACAGAGCATCCATTGCCCATATGTGTGCCTTTTGCTTTCTTCCTATCTTCTCCATTCTCTGCAACAAACATAACCACTGTTATAAATTCTAGAACCATAAATCTATTTTTTCTTTTGAATTGTATATAAATGAAATTGTACAATACGTATTTATTTGTATTTGGCAAAATTTCCTCCAACACTGTTCTTTTTATTTTCTAGTGCATATTAATAAAACAGGGTGAGATTCACACTGATAATTTGACACCAGCATATAACTTGCTTTGATTGCTTTTGTCTCCAATATTCCTTTCCTCATGGCCTCCCATTCCTATCCTCCAGATGTTCATCAACAGATGAATGGATAAAGAAAACAACAATGGATTATTGTTTAGTCATCAAAAGGGGAAACAGTTCATTTAGAAGTAGAATGGGCACAATTGCTCACCAACTTGTTAAGCAAAATAAGTGAGACATTGAAAGCAAAATGTTAGCTTCTCTTATCTGAGCAAATTATAATGGGTCATAGTTTTTTTTAACTATGTAGAGTTATTATTGATAAAGATGTATTCCTATGACTTTGTTAATTTTTTTCATATTTTGTTTATCTTTTGTTGCTTTCTTCTACTCTTGCTCATCTTCATGATTTGAAGGTTTTATGGAAGATAAGGTTTGTTTATTTTCTCTTGTATCTCTTTTAATTGTTTTCATCAAGTTTCTTATCATTCTTTCATCTTGAACTACATGACTCCCATTAAGAATTTCTTACAAGGCTGGCCTTGTGGTGTGTTGGTTACTTTTTTCTCATTGTTGAGACAAACCGCATAATTCCCAAAATGAAGGAAGGAAAAGGGTTTATTCAGCTCACAGTTTGTGGAAGTCTCAGTGCATACTGAGCTGGCTCCAAGGTAGGGTGGCATGGCTAAGGGGCAGACATTCATGGCAGCTGTAAGCAGCAAGAGTGAAAAAAGGGTAAAGTGGGGAGGAGCACGTAGAAAAGACCCTGTCCCTTATATTGTATGTAGACCACACCCACTTGTGTGTAACACCCACACCCATAATTCTAGCATTGGAACATGAATCATTCACAAACTCTAGAAGCCCACCTCCCTGATTGCATGAGGCTTTGGGAGGACATCTAGACTCAAACCACAATATTCTGCCCCTGGCCTCCCAAAGACTCACACACATCCTTTATGCAAAAGACATTTAGTCCATCTTTAAGAGTTGCCAAAGTCTTAATAGTTTCAGCATTGTTGAAAGGTTCAAGTCCAAAGTATCCTCTGAGATTTAAGGTAAATTTCTTAGTTGCGAGCTCCTGTACAAATGAAAAGATAGTTAAATATTTCCAACATTCAATGGCACAAGATAAAAAGTTCCATTACAAAAGGTATAAACAGGGGGATAGAAAGGAGTGGGACCAATGCAAGTTCAAAATCCAGTAGAGCAATCATTAAATTCTGGAGTTCCATGTGGAACATTCAAAGCAATCTGTGGCAAATTGTGAGTTCCAAAACCCTTGTGTGACTCTGCCCTAGTGACACTTCTTATGGTTGTAGCTTCCACAGCTTCTCTCTTGGGCCCATTTTGCTCTCTCCTTGCAGTTTTTCTTAGATGACCCACATTGCTGGCTTTTTCAAACTTCTGGGGTCTCTACTGCACCTTTGGATTCACACTTACAACTTCACATATTGCCCTTTCAGGGCACACTGCCTGGCCTCCTAGTCCTCCTGAAATAGAGGTAGAAGTCTTTTTAACCTCAGAACTTATTACTTCTTGACATTTTGGCTAAGATCAAATATAACCTCAGAACTCATGCATTCTGTATATACCTAAAATCAGTGCCCCATGTATGGTGTCAAGGTCTGCTGCCAGATGAACCAGTAACCAAGCTTTCCTTTCCATTGGCTGTTGGGGTTGAGTGCCTGGATCACTGAGTACTCTGAAGCTGATTGTATGAAAGAAATTCTTTATGCTGCCACCATTTTGGAATCCAGTGGGGCTCCTGCCATAATTCTGGAATGTGGCACTCTACAGCTTTCTCCTCAAAGGAAAGACTTTCACTTTCACAGTTTTGAGGTTGCAAAGACCCAATGCTATTTCCCAAGATTCTCCCAGGCTATCTTTTATATTTTTCCATTCTTTCTCAGAAATCGAGATCATGGAGCTAGGGATTTAGCTCAGTGGCATAAGTGCCTGCCTGGCAAGTACAAGGTTGTGAGTTCAATCCCCATTA